GCTAAGCATTTACACTATCACAAGGACACAGATAAGACCAGGCATTTATGGAAAAATTGTTTGAAAAAGCTCATAAATATATAATAAGAGTTCCCTTATTTTATTACCTTCATAAAGATGGTGGATCATTGGCTGCCCTGCTTTGTGATTCAGCTCTATGTGCCATAACCATCAAAAGTTTGCATTTATAATAAAAAGCAAATTTTCCTGTCAGTTTTTTTGTACTGTATTTATCCCTTTGGTCCTGAATTATAAAAATGATTTTATCTGTAAACAGAGTGAAAAAAAAGTAAAGCTGTTTAATTTTCTTACATTTCAAAAACTCCATCAAGCTTTTATCATTTACCAGTTTGTTATATTGAGATAGGATGAAAAAACACTGAAGGACATCTATTAATAAATGCTCAGTGTCAATACAAAAAAATCTGCTCTAAATGTTGCTCCAAACAAACCCCTATCTTTATCAGGGTCACAGTGACATCTACAGTGTTGTTTGTTTTTGGATGTTGAGGTAATGTTTCACCACAAATGTGGTTCTTGCAAAAGAGCAAGATATTCATTATAACAGAAACAATCATTAAAGAGTTGGTGAAACCCAGGCCTGAATTTTTAGGTCTGCCCTTATTTTATTTTTATTTTTTATGTGGTAGAGATCCCCTTGAACCCCAGACGGCCAGCGTTGGGCACGTTACTTTGAAAAAGTAATTAGTTATAGTTACTAGTTACTTCTCCCAAAACGTAACTGAGTTACTAACTGAGTTACTCCACAATAAAAGTAACTAGTTACTAGTAAAAGTAACTATTGCTTTACTTTTGCATTTCTCGCCCCCGTAACCCTCACCTTCTCCCCGTGTGTTTCAAAAGCCAGCTCAATAGAGTGGATGACTAAGATGAGTACCTGCAGAGTTTTGCATTTATTGCAACTCAACGGAAATTACATCTGGGGGGAACGCTATCTGATGGGCCTATAAACCCCATCAGATAGCGTTCCCCCTGCTTAACATGCGGGGAACGCTATCTGGTGGGCTTCTAAACCCCGTCAGATAGTAATTATCATCAGGCTGCATTACCTCTACTCATGGGTGTGAAGTTTTTTTAACAGGGCGTTCAGATCTGGTGAGTGTATGAAATTAATAACTGGGGATGTCTAATTCTGAAATCCTGTGTGTTTGGGTTGTTATAGATACTGCAACATCTATCTATCCTTCCATCCATCTATCCCAATTTCTCCCTTTCTCCACATACATTTGATCGTTCACAGAATCAGAAATACTTTAATAATCCCAGAGGGAAATTACTTTTGTTACACGCTCCAGTTACAGTTTTACATGTTATATACACACATCCAACTATACAATATAATAAAGATAAAAAATATGAATAAAAGAGATAAAATATATACACATATAGTGTAACTACGCTCTCCGTAGTTCCCCTGTGGCACGGGCATTAGCGAGCATGCGCGTTTCCTGTTGCTTGCGCTGTGAATCGTGCTGCCTGCGCTGTTCTTAGATGCAGGGGAAACCGGATCTGATGGGAAAACATAGCTCCACGTAAGGCTGGTATTTCCATCTGGTAAACGTTTTTTTGCCACTGGAGTCCTCCTCACTCTCCATCTCTCTGTGTGTGCTGTACATTAACACCCACCAGCGGAAACACCCACCTACCCAACTGAGATGGAATCTCACTATACATCAGCCAATCTCATCCTCCTGTCATGACAAAAAGGTTAATTGTGCAACCTGAGTAATGTGCAGTAACGGGATGTCGGCAATGGTAACTGCGTTATAGGTACAGTCAAAGTAATTAGTTAGATTACTCATTACTAAAAAAGGTAACAGCGTTAGTAACATCGTTACTTTCAACGCCGTTACCCCATCACTGCAGACGGCCTCGGCAGATGGTCGCTCACACTAAGCCTGGTTCTGCTGGAGGTTTCTTCCTTTTAAAAGGGAGATTTTCCTCTCCACTGTCGCTACAAGTATGCTTAGTGTGAGGGATTGTATTCGAGTCAATGAGTCGATGCAATCAACTGGTTTTCCTTAGAATGAAAACTTTGAATCAATCTGACTGTATGATCTGGTGAACTGTATATTGCCTTGAGATGATGTGTTGTGAATTGGCGCTATATAAATAAACTGAATTGAATCTAGTGTGTACACAGTGTTCAGTTAAATAGTA